GAAGAGTGCAGGGCTTTCTGACGAGAAACCTAACCATGATGGAAAAACACATTCTAAAATCCACTGTGCAAATCCATACCACATCCATGTCACGTTAGTTTTTCAGTCGGCCGACGAATGGTTTTCCCACGGCGAAATCCCTGTCGCCCAAACCGAGGATGAGCGACCCGGAGATCGTGAACTGGCTGGCGGCCATGGACTTGCAGATAGCGGACCCCAACGCATTGCTTCTTGGAAGTCTTTGGTGTGTGTGAATATGTGTGAATTGTTGATATGACATCAGTGTGCATCAGTCCATTTGCAGAACTGGGTTTTGGCCGCCTCTACTCCGTTAAAACACACATAAGACTGGCCATGGATGTATGGTGAAACTCAAGACATCGGCCCGTCTCACGCTCACTTGAGACTGATTCCAAAGTGCTGAGGGGATGTTGAAGGGTGTCTCAACATGTTGAAGGGGTGTCTCAAGCCTGGTGGGATATACGTGAGAGGTTTGAGGCATCAATTGGCTCGCTTCTTCGTGTGATGGCTTGAAAAGAGGTCTAGAAATGAACTAAGAATGAATCAACTGGCAATTCTGAATTGGTAGGTCTTGCATGAAATGAATATCATGCAGTTTTGGGATTTGAACATCCATCAATATTCAACTTCTTCCAGAGGTGCGCTTCCCATCACTCTTAAGACATCCAATGCATCAAATCCTCATACCATCCTGTTTGGTCGATCTGTGTTTACTGCGTTCTTCTGCCTGACACTGTGCTAATCCAAAGGGCCGAACCGATCAAGGGCCCGGATCCAAGTTGGACAACGGCTCAAGAAGATCTCAAGAAGATGGCATCCAAACCCACTGGTAGAAAAGATAAACTGAACAGCCGTGGATGCTGTTTCATCCAACAATTTTTTGTTTGACCACAAAAGAACCAATGCCAGCAAGCCTTTGGCCGCTATGGAGCCACAAAAACCATCAAAATCGAGGTTTGAAATGGTCCAGGGGGACCTCGCAGAGAGCGAGAAGAGCGAGGGCACCATCAATGCCGAGCAGTTGGTGATGGGCGTCTCCCGTTTGAAAGGCGCTGCCAGGAGTGTCTCGTAGCGTCCGTTGACCGTCTCACCGGAAGCGCTGCGGTTGCGCACGAAGGGTTAGGCTTTTTTGGTTTGCTTTGATTATCTCGCTCGGTCGCATCCCTGGCGGTGTGTTGTAGACTGCAAGACATGTGACAGCGTTCCAGAAAGACCATTATTGAAATTATACAAATTGTCTGAATCCTTAATTACTGCTGCTCGTGATTTTGCTGATGATCAAAGGTACCATTCTGCTTTTTTTCGTAGAACAGAATGCTACTGCCCAATGAAGACCTACTCTTGGAGATCGTGATCTTTGCCCACCGGCTCGACCAGTTTGATCCAGGTTCCCACAGCTTGTGTCAAATACTTGTTGGGGATTTTGGTCATTTTGAGACAGACATGGACAGTCTAGTAAAGTCCAGAGTCCAGAGTCGCTCGTCTATGGCATCAGGAGCACTGATATGCACACTCTGACGGCTGAAGTGAGGAAGTTGCACCACAGGTGGCTGAGCCAAAACGGGAGTGGTTCTTAGGCAGATCTACCTCAAATGAACATGCTACTCAGGAAACGTTTGATGATGTTTGATGCATGCACTTATGCTGTTATATGCATGTGCATCTTTAATTGTGTGATATGTTTAGGGCCATGGACACCTGTGGGTGTTGCCTTTTGAGGTAAGTGGCAATATCAGCAAGAACTCTCATCAAGAGCCACTAGCTCCTAGTTAGGCCACTAGCGCATCGGGTCCCATGTGGATCATCTCATATGTGGATCAGCATCGACCAAGCTTCGGATGTCACCACAGCGAACATCCTCCAACCACTTCATTGCGGGGAACCAAATACAAAAAGGCTTCGAAAGACCACCCTTCCTTGGGAGTATGACTAGTAACAAGAGCATCGCTACTAGTAGCAAGGACGCTACTAGTAGCTCCTGGCATTACTAGTAGCAAGAAGCTACTAGTAACAAGGGCATTACTAGTAATAGCAAGGAAGCTACTAGTTCTCCAAATCAGTCGAGTGTTGTTTCATTCACAGCCTCGCCCGAGGTTCGAAAGGGGGGGGCGCCTCGGCCACGTGCGGCGGAACCGGCGGTTCGGGGTTCACCGTCCGGAAACGGCCCAAAGCCTTGACATCGGATAGGGATCCTGTTTGATGCGATTCCGGAACTACGCAAAAATAGCTGGATTGGAACTGCAAAAGGCGTTCATGTCTAGACTACCTGTGAGAACTTCTGAGAGGGGTTGAAGATTCAGATCCAAATTTTGGTGAACCTCCCGCAGATTACCCCGGACCACCTTCAGTGGCCTCCCTCAAAATGTTTGGAAGCTCAAATATTTCAGTAAAGCGACTAAGTTGGCCATGCCTCATATGCCTGGTAGAAGATAGTAAACATTATAGTTTGTGTTTTTTCGATTCGGCGTGCCTGGGTACCTGAAACCCAAGTGCCCCAGATACCGATGGGAGGATGAGGCATCCCGCCTATCATTCGACTGGATGTTGCTGATGTTGTGTATCAACAGCTGTTTCAATCCTTATACGTACCCGTTCAACAGCAATTCCACCAAAAAGAAATCCCTTTTCACGTCCTTTTGTTTTCATTTCCAAGAGTTCCTTGTGCAAGTTCGGCAAATTTGGTGGTCAGAAAGCAACCCAGCAGGCTCAGCAAATCCTATGTCCTATGTAGCAATGACTTCATGTGCCAAACGAAATGGACCTCTTTGGTCGACAGATGTTGATGCTAAGGCGGTCAGGTTCGACCTTCTCTGCCGGCAGCAACAATGACACCTGGCCATTCAGGAATCAGGCAGTTGATGGCAGTTGAACAGGTCGTAGAGAGCTTCTCTTTAATATGTTTAAGTCGTGATCACACTATGCTCAAATCTAACTTTTGGAACACATTCTCCTTTCAACAGGGTTATGCAAATTATTTGTCAGTTATTTGTCTTTGAACCCACTGGTGTGCAGTTTTTCCAGTTTGACGATCCAGCCTCTTCAGGCGGTTCTTTTTAAGGGGCGCCCTCGGCAACTCCACTACACCCCGCCACACACGCACACACCGATCGAACGAACAGATCTTGGGAGACCGTGACGTCGACCGTGACGTCGACGGCGTTCGGATGTTCTGAGCTGAGGCCACACCGATACTTCCCAAGGCAACGGTGTCCCGATCTGGGGATGAGGGGTGTCGATGTCAGCGAGGTTGGAGAAGGTGTTTTAAGAAAGGTTCGATCTTCCGATTCCACTCGGCCAGGCCGCAAGGCAAATCAAAACAGGAGTGCCAGTGTGAAGAATGCTAGTTTTTGTTCTTTCCTGCGAAGTCACCGGGGTCACCGGAGTTGGACACAGGTCGAGGAGATCTGAGCCTCGGCGGATCCGAAAACGTCCTGCGGGGGGGGGCGGCAAAGCTCCCCCCCTCTGCACCAGAGCGACTGGGCTGTCACCGGCCGGTGACCGGCCGGTGAGTTGGCCGTTGGTCATCGGGATCCTGGTGAAGTGCTCAAAAGAGGAGGAGGTTCACGGGATGCAACAACTGGTTAAGGACTTGACAGCAACTTTGGAAGCCAATTCATTGATTCAGGACTTGCAGCTTTTGAATCGAATTGTTTGATGTGCAAGTGGAAGGATCAGTGATTCCCAGGTTTGACTCCAATCCGTTCGAGCACCAGTAATTTGTACTTTCAGGGCCGTCTAGAATCATATTCTTCAATAAGTGTTCAAAGCACCGAAGCGGGATTGTGCAAAATTCATCTGGATCCCGGGTCCGTCTCTCTGCTTTGCTGTGAGCTGTGCCGAAGTTGCTACAGTTCTTGCAGAATTTCATGGATTTCAACCCATTTCGAAAGAATCTCCCGTGCCCTTTGCACCAACGATTTGATGTTTGTTCTTGCTGAACCGGACATAGAACTCACCATGGGCTCACCACTACACGAGGTCCCTTAGACTTGCGCAGAAAGGACGTGAAAAGATATGAAGATTACTCCCAGTATAGAGGAAGTTTTTTCCCCATCCCCTCATATCCTCTTCTGAATGGTTTGCATGTTCCGATCGGGTACTTCTTGAGGAACGGCAGGGGTGCACGCAGACTGGACAAAGTGACAAAGCCTTTCAACAGATTTGGATGTCTTCGGACGTTTTTGGATGTCGGAAGAACGGCGTACGAAAAAGAAACGGTTCTGCGAGAAGCCCGCATGGCTGCTAGCTGCTAGCACCATCGTTCTGTCGTGCCTTTTATGTTGGATCTTGGTTTACCACCTGAACATAGGATCCGCATGGTTTGATCCAAGCAAGGAGCACCCCACTTGTCCCAATGAGAAAACACTGAGTTCTGATTAGTTCCGAGCTGTTTTGAGACTTTTGGTGGGAACCACGAAGCCCTTTGTCCAGATCGGATGATCGGTAGGAACCGCCGTCCGCATGTATTTGGCACGTGTTTGACCAGGTCGACCAACCCTGAAAAGATGAGCTTTCAACATCGGACGATTTTCTGCCGTCGGCCCCGACGCAGGAAGCGTTGAGCCGTGTCGTGATCGAGCCGGGCTTGAGATTGCACCACACAGCCCCTGGGCACGAGGAGATGAGCGCAGACTAAGATTATGACTTATATATAACAAGGAACGCCTTTGAAATGGTGACCAACCATGACGTAGTCTGGTCCGCCATGTAGAACTCTCACCACGTTCGCCAACTGTTCCTCAGATAGATGGCATGGAGGCTTGACGTTGTGCGAATCAGAGCAGTGAGTTGTGTTTTGTACCATCACACAGTATCTCATACATGGGGTATCCAAACCACTGCGTGTCAGTGAAAACGGCAAGATCATTGGGTTATATATTATATATATATTATATATATATATATATTATATATATATATACTCAAGCAGTAGGAATGGTATGTTGGTTTGGGTTGTCGCTGACCTGATTTTCAAGGGTGGACGACTGAGCGACAGGAAACCCCAAGAGACTCTGAAACACCAAAATGAATGTCATCAAGATGCAACCCAGTCCAAATGCGGGTTCGGAACCACACGGGAACCACCCGGAACCCCCACACATCCTGGGGCTTGGTGCATCTCCTTCGCATTTGGATATTTGAGTGAAATGTCTTGAGAGCTTATCCAATAGCGCAACCACAAATGTTTGTTGGGAGTTTGGAAGGGGATCGTTGAGCCGAAGAATCCACAGCCATTTGTGTGTGTGCAGTCGACGGCCAATGTGGCTCGAAGCATCGCTTCATCCGGTACTGTAGCTGCGCCACCTGGCTGCTGAAGACACAACAGTGGAGATTGACTAAAGCTGAGGTATAAGGAACTGTTTTGTTTCTTTTTAAATTTGAGGCTGGTATCATATGCGTTTCCTCCTGTTCTCCGAGGTTTTCTCGCTTTGTCACTGTCTTTTGGATGTTTCTGAGTTGGCGATTTGCTAGATCTTTGGACCCCAAAATATATTTACGAACGAAGATGCCCGATGCTTTAGCCGCTCCTTCAACCATCCTTAGCATGTTCTGTGATCATTATGACCTGTTGAGAGTAACGATATTGAAAGGAGTCAAAGGTTTGTGTATGCAGTATGCATGTCTGTACATACTTTACCTTGTCCCAGTAGCATCACAGACCAGTCTAGATGTGGTTTTCTGCCTGCTATGGTCGTACCCGATTCGAGTGACCAGTAAGGCACACATCCGCGGATGCGATGTCCTGTCCCAGGTGTTTATGCGTTGGCTCCTGGCATGCTTGCTGGCCCTAGTTCCAGCCCAAGAGACAGGACGCCTCACGTGCCTGCGTGGGCTTCTGGAAAAGGAGGCTAAGGCCTCTGCGCTCATGTCGAATTAGGATGAATTAGGCGGACGATCGCTGTGTTTTTTCGGGTGCTCCAAGATTCCGTTTGACGGCTGGACGAGTGACGAAGTCTATATATAAGCATATATCAGCTAGATTTAAGTCTCATCCAGTGGCTTTCATGTGTTTCAATTCGTGGTGGCAACGACGGGGCTTCGACCGACCCGTCTGGAGCGTCTGAGCGTCTCTGGATGTGAGGAGTCGAGCCCGACGGAGCGGTCCAGCTGCAGCTTCACCGAGTCCGTGATGACTACGTGGACCTGCTCATTGTCGTGCCGAGTGAGGCGAAGGAGGTCCAAGAGCGCAGATTGATCAGAGACAGCTGGGGCAAGTACCTGGCCGATGGACACTGCAAGGCGAAGTGTTTGAGCCAGCTGTTTGTCTTTCTTTTGGCCAAGAAAAGAGAGCTCTTTTGAGTGGGGTTGTTGGATGTTGGTTTTGTGAGTGAAGAATCAGGTGCCGTGCCGGGCCGTTTTGACAAGGTGGAAGCGTCGCAATTTTTTTGCAGAACCAGCGCATTGGTGGGAGCTTTTTGGAGGGCATTGGTCCTTTTTGACAGATCCCATTAGCCCAATGAATGTGTTCCAAATGCCGGGGTCTCTTGGTTCTGGTTGTTGGTCCTGTAGGTAGGTCACCAATCAACGAAAACAAAGCGGTTAAGATGATGGTCATTCCCCGTGCCCTCCGGTGACCTGAAGGCATGGTCTCCCATGGGTCTGCTGGCGCCAGGTGTGCGGCTCCAATCGCCGTGTGAAGCTGCTCTTCGGCCTCGGGGCACGAACCAACCAGTCCCTGCAGGAGGCATGGCATGAGAGGCAAAAAGGATCCAAACCCTGGTTGAGGATGTTTGACAACACTTTCTGCTAGCACCAGACTGACATGTTGTAAGACTTGTGAATGCAAATGGATCACTATCCCTGAGAGGAGAAGGATTGGGCAGATGTGGCAGTGCTGTCACTGGACTCGAAGCTTGACTCCCCGAACCAGCAGGCCATGAAGACCCGAATCCTGATCGCACACGCAGTGGAGAAGTATGACTTTGGGCTGTTGCTGAAGGTGGGTAACTCAAGATGTCCGAGCATTTGTTGTTGCTTTGCATGACAAGTTAGGTAGAGAATGAATGGATGCAAGTGTCCCTCAGATCAGCATAAATAAAGACGAGCCTCAATGATTCCTGAGATATGGTCTCTCCATGAAAAGGCTCCAAACTACAGGCACATGGCTCGGTTTAGTGTGTTGTTCCTCCCTTACTCAGGTGGACCCTCACTCCTTCGTCTTCCTGGATCGCTTACTGTCTTTGGCGGAGGGCAAGAAGCTCTTCCCCTCGGACGAGACACCTGAGCCCTGGACCTAAGACTGCAGGTCTTTCTTGCTTTCTCCCATGGTAACGCCAAGGAGGCATATTTCAAGACATGTCAGGAAGGTGGGCCTGGGGAGTCGATGACCCTCTCATGTGCGAACTAGTGGAAACCTCCTGAAATCTGTTGGGCAGTTGAAACAGGCACATCCGGAAATCCCAGGATATCTATGGCGGGTATTTCGCCTATCAGGACAAACAAGTCAAGAAGATGGAGGGCTTCTTGGCATCAAAGCTGAACAAATGACCCTCGCAAACTGGACGGGTTGTATGTTCATGCGACACCAAGAAGCTTTTGCAAGGCTGGCTTTTCTGATGAGTCTTATCTGCGCAACGCCATGCGCAACGGCCCAAAGGGGATCCAAGGGGATCCGTTAGAGTTCGAAGTCGTTGATCGGCCGTCCAGATGTGTCATCCTTGGAACTACAAAGCAATTACAGAGGCAGTAATTGAGGCTTCTTTGATGACTGAACCCTTTCAAAAGCTTTCCGAGTTGATTCACGTGTATTCGTTTCTGTTCTCTTGGTGAGGGTTGGAAAGTATGAGTGGGGCATAGTGGGGCAATGATGTTGGAAAGTGTTCTACCTGACTCCTCACCCCGGGTACCGCACCCGTGGGGCAACACCGGTGCAGCACCTGCAGAAATCAATAAAGCATAACTCGAGAGAGTTATTTGCAAAAGTGAAATTGCAAAGAAAGAACTACTACGTTTGCTGCGGAACTACTTTCAACTCTTTGGCCGTCGGTTTTTTGAGCGTAAAGGCCCTGAAAGAGCTACTACGTTTGCTGTTCAGAAACACGGACCGACGACCTTGACGACGGTCGTTTGTGGTGCATGAGGCTCCTACTTTCACAAACCCAAGTGTTATCCTTCATTGAAACCCGCTTTGACTTGGTGGGGATGTTGGAGCATGTGACGGCACGTTGCCAGAGATTGAGGTTTCGGAGGATGCAGGATGCAGAATTGTTTGTGAGTCCAACAAAGAGTAGTTGCTGAGCAAAGGATGAGCCGACAGATCGTGCCCTTCTTGTGTTTTGGCCTACTTACATAATACAATCCAGCACAAGGGTCTTTTGGGTCCTAGCTTTACAGAGGCCTGTTTCCCAAGTCGGCGTTCGAAACTGATGTCCTTTGCCGGTCGCCATTCCTTCCGAGGAAAATTGAAGGATCTGGACTATCGAAAATTGACTGGCCATAATCGATTCCCGAAGTATGCAAAAGGCGCTGGGTATTTGCTTAGCCGAAGACTTTGCAGATGCTTGGTGCCAGAAAGTATGTCATGGTTTGTGTGCCGCTCTGCTGTTTAAGAGGCACCTGAAGACCAGAGGGCAGACACCCTCGTTGAGAGAAAGCTTCAAATTGTGACAATTGTCCAGCAACATGTCCTCTATTTGAAATGAATACAAGCAAGAGCTATGGGTCCCCTCACCAACAATGCAACATCTCTCCAAAACGGTGCTTGATGATTGTGAGTTCCCGGGTCTCATCTTGTTCTTATTATTCTTTATAGTCTTTGCTGTACATTTGCCGATTCAGAAACCAACCAATCAGGAAACTACGATTCAGAAACCAAGATTAAGAAACTAAAACAGCCGATTCAGAAACCAAGTTGGACGGTTCAGAAACCAAACCAGGCGGTTCAGCAACCAAAACAGCCGATTCAGAAACCAAAACAGCCGATTCAGAAACCAAAACCGCCGATGCAGAAACCAAGTCAGACTATTCGAAACCAAGCCAGACGATGGTTGCAATGGGGTGGAGGGCAGGAGGAGTGTGGGATCCCCGCCGCTCCGCGGAGCTGTGCTGGACCCAGCGGCGGTCTCTCTCGCTCCACGGCACTGTGAGCGTGGGGGGGGAACCATGGCCAAGATAATAACATTCCATGTGGATTCATTCAAGATCCCCCTTGGTATTTCCATTACAAAATCGGTGATGATACCATCATATACCATCACAAAACAAGCATTTTTGTAAAGAATGGTCTGCTCATGTTGGAGGTGGCATGTCAGAGAGTCTGAATTTATAGAGAACACTGGAAATTACGAGCCTCGATTCTATAGAGAATTATTGTATATGAACACATGTCTTGGCAAGGTCAAGAAATCTGATTTTATAGTCAAGCAATGATTGAACTTTACATGTCAAGGGTCTCAATTCTATAGATTTTGTATTTCCGGATGGTTTCTGTGTCTTTCCAAGGTCACATGCCTGATGCTGGACATGTGTTTGCTCAATGAACATGCTGAAGTACTATGGAGTTGTGGTAGCTTTCATGGAGGACTAAGTTGCTAGAGGCTTCCAGTGTAGTCAGATTTTGCAACCCAAAGCCTGCTATTCTATAGAGGCCCTACTACCCAATAATTGAAAAAATGCAGTTCGAAAGTACCTTGTGCCCTACGATTCTATAGTGTTTGTACTTGCTACGTTTACCTATTTTCCATGTGCCCAACCCAATCCTATAGAGCTGGCCATGATTTTCAGTCTCACAATCCTCAATTCTATAGAGCTCAAAATGCAGCCTCTCATTTTGGATGTCATATGCAGCATTTTATAACGATAGAATCGGTGCACCCCCCCCTTTAATTCCAAGGGGGATCATTCAAGTAAGAAAATTTTTGTATTTGCAGCATATGGCCGAATAGAGTGATGGGCATGATAATAACGTTCCATCTGGTTGCAACGGGTTTAAGAATATGTCCGTATTTACAGCATATGGTTGGACACAATCGGTTGGTTTCTGCATCGTAGCTTTCTGATCGTTGTATTTACAGCGGAGTGTAGCACGCTGCCCCTAAAAGCGACGACACCTTCACGAGCATGTGTAAATTTGAAAGATGAAGAAGAACTTGTTGAGGATTCTGCCATGCTAGTTTGGCATGGTTCGACCAAAAACGTTTGTTGGTCTGTATGCTTGTGACTGCCAAGAGAGAGCGAGAGACACGTGCACAGTTTTTGTTTTGTACTACTACTACTACTACTACCACTACTACTGTACTACTACTACTACTACTATTATGTTGGGCGATGGCAGCCATACATGGCCAACCATCAAATATGTGAAAAAAACAAAATAAAAGCAAATGAAACTGCAAAAACAAAGCAAAAAGCAAAAACAAAGCAAAACAAAAAGCGAAAAAAAAATAAAAAAACATAAAGCGAAAAAAAACGAAAATAAAGCGAAAAAAAAGTGAAAAAAAACGACAAATATGTTTTTGCTGTACCCTCCTAGCAAAAAAACGAAAAAAACACGGAAAAACACGAAAATAAAGCGAAAAAAAATGCGAAAATAAAGTGAAAAAAAGTGAAAAAAACGACAAATACGCACAGCTACATTTTTTTGTTTTTTTGTGTGCTTTGCCTTTTGTCTTTTTTTTCCTTTGTTTTTGCTTTATAAAACTATTTTGGCTCCTTGTATCTATGGCTGGCGTGCCCGACATAATACTACTACTACTGTACCACCACCACTCCCACTGCCACTACTACTACCACCACCACTACTGCTACTGCTACTACAACAACAACAACTACTACTACTACTACTACGACTATTACCGCTACCACTACCACTACCCGGATCATCAGATTTTTCTTTTGGAATGTTAGGTTGTTTTGGTTTCCTGGTTTTGGATACCGAATCAGTGGTTTTGGTTACCGAATCAGCGGTTTTGGTTACCGAATCAGAGGCTTTTGGTTACCAAATCAGCGGCTTTGGTTACGGAATCAGCGGCTTTGGTTATTGAATCGTAATTACCGACGTTGACCTCCATCCAACACTTCGACCTAGTCTCTACATGCTTCGGTTCTTGAGATTTTCCGGCAAGGCCTGATAATATGCCGTGCAAACATGTTCGTTTGAGGTGTTGTGTTTGAGACCTGGTTCCTGCAAGGACGACATGAGCAGCACGCGAAACCTATATGACCTTATAATGGTATATATAACTCATAATTGCATAGGATCTGCACAAATTATAGCGAGGACAAACGAGGCAACGAGGTGGCTTAGGGAGAATCAACGAGGACAATCTTAATTTCGTTCCATGAATTAAGAAACTGACGAGGTAGCCTCGGATGGTTCCGGTTCAAGTTGGAGGTGGTTAAAAAAAGAAAAAACTTTTTGGGCTTCAATAAGTTGCCTTTGCTTGGCTCTGAACGTCAAAGTGATTGAATGGAATAATAAACTTTTCAAGGCCCAGAAAGTTTTTTTTCATTTCCCAGGGCCAAAGGCATCTTCTCTTTTGGACCAAAAGTGTGTGTGATCGGTGCTTCTATGAGTACACAGCCATGAGTATGCTCCGGGTTCTCGTTTCGTCTCATGGGCACGAGCTCTACAAGGTTGATGTTTGCCCAGAAGGCACATGGAAACCTGTGCCTCAACCTGCTGGAGTGTAAAATTAAGAAACTGACGAGGTAGCCTCGGATGGTTCCGGTTCAAGTTGGAGGTGGTTCAAAAAAAGACCTTTTGGGGCTTCAATAAGTTGCCTTTGCTTGGCTCTGAACGTCAAAGTGTTTGAATGGAATAACAAACTTTTCAAGGCCCAGAAAGTTTTTTTTTCATTTCCCAGGGCCAAAGGCATCTTCACTTTTGGACCAAAAGACGAGAAGGCACATGGAAACCTGTGCCCCAACCGGAACCTGTGCGGATCGCTAGCTGACGAGGTATGGGCAGGAAACTGGGCAGGAATAACTTTTTCCATCGGGAAGAGTTTATTTTTCACCACTTCAGCAATCCAAATGATACTGTTGTATTAGTTTCCTTTCGTGAATTAACGAGGGACAGCCCTAATTTGATGACCCGAATTAGCGGACGAGGACACTAAACGCGGCCAAGAAATTAAGCCCACGAGGGAGACGACCTAAGAAATAAAGTAACTTGCACAGATAGGATGAAGTACGTAATCTAAATTGATAGAAAAGAAGACCCTCCAAGATTGTTTTTTTATTGCACTGCGTGTGATGTAAATGTTGATGTGGTTCAGCCTTTGCTTTCATTAGATATTCCTTGCCTTAAATATCCTGAGTTCAGCCTGCGAATGCTCAGGACACATTGCCAATTTTCCAGAAGATAACAAGGACGGGTGCCACCTCTTGAGTCGCGATCGAAGAGAGTTGAAATCGGGAACCAGTCAGGCACTAGGAAATCTAGAGTTTCATATGCATTTATTGTTTGTAATTATTGTCGATTTCAAGATGTTTCTACATTTCTACACGTGCTGTTCCTGGCTGCCACCTGATTAGAATCAGAGAGGGCGACAGGCGGCACACGACCTTGTGCCGTCCTGTGTGATTTTCCCTGAATCAGTTGAGTTCGGGTGACTGCCGACTGCCGACTGCTGTTTCGCTCTTCTCCAGTTTGATTGGGCTCCCATGCCAGCTCTACGCAGCTTGTCCAACGAGGACGTGTCAGTCCGGGCTCTCAGACTCTCCAGGTGTTCGTTGGACCCGGTGAGAGAGGAAAACCCTCCACATGTTCAAAGTAAGCTAGTAGTAACAGGAAGCTAGTAGTAACAGGTGCATCGCTACTAGTAACAAGTGCCTTACTAGTAGTAACAAGAAGCTACTAGGAACAAGTGCCTTACTACTAGTAACAATAAGACTTTAATTAGAAGCCGGGCGAGCTGGGCTCCAGCTGCAGCTTTCCAGTGTGACCGGCTCTGGGATGGCGAGCTGGGGCGACGAAGTTTTGCTCACTGAAGGTGTCTTTTTTAAAGAGATGAAAGCACATGTGCTGGGGTGTATCCATTTTGATGCTCTGTGAGGTTTGCCAAAGGAATGGCGCTCCAACCAACATGATGGTTTCTTTGCAGGGAATTTGGATTGTCCCCCCGTTTTCAAGCAGACACGCAAGGCCAAACCTGGCGAATGTTTTTTTGCTAAAAAATTGGGCATGGATCTGAACGTATGTGGCTAAAGTGAATGTCCAGACCCTCAACAACCAGACTGCAGTCAACCGCTGGAGTGATGATGAGTGCGATCCTGAAGCCAAGGGTCAATATTGGAGACACAACAAAGCCGCCGCCCTTGGCTTCGCACCCATTTGGGCAAGTCTTGTATATCTACAAAGTGCATTTCTTCAACCAAGTCTCAAGTCTGTTTGCATGTTCGACTCCGCAGTAATCGTGGGTCTAAATTCGAGAAGAACTCGGATTACGCTCACCACCATTAAATAGCATGTATGTTGGCTAACTACTGAAAAGGGATAAAGGGCCCAACGACACCACGCCAGGCTTCCTCTGGGATAGGCTTTTCTACCCACGAGCCCACGTGACTGCAGGATATTGGTTCATCAATCTTTCAGAGATCAGGTTTGAACTTGGTGAGCCGCTTCACACTGGTGTGGCCTGACATTTCAAAGCTCGCTTTCATCCACCCCGGAAGCACAGACCTGATGGCTGAACAGTCATCCCTACGCCACGCAGCCGTGTTTCAAGCTTTCTCATGGTCAACCCTAGCGGTGAAGAGTTACCAGCCACAAGTTTCAATCCCTGGCGCGATCCGACACGGCCTTCGAGGAATCCGAACGCGACGCTTTGTTTCACGTCAGACCGCGGCGTTTCAGCAAACTGACCTCCCGTGTTTGAGGTCCAAGGTATCCCTTAGGCCTTAGTTACTTCAGGTCAACATGGCTGTCAGGATTGACTAGTCGGGGTCCGACCTTTGACTCATATGTTGTTTTCTCGCTGAAATGTTCCAGCTAATCTGATATATTCAACTATTCGACTGTTCGATGGATTGGGGCGGGGGTTCGCTTGTCGACTTTTGGATCGCGTAGTCGTCGCCCTCCTGTGCCTTTGTTATTCATTATCGGGTAGCCTTTTGATGCAGATCATGTTGATGTTTTCAAAGAAAACCGTCGAGAGGTACCGAAGACAAGTGTCCAAAGAAAACCGCCCCACCCCACCCCACCCCCTCAAAAAAGGAATGTTAGCGTGAGTGTTAGTCGAAGTGAATGTCATTAGCCCTAGATATACCCCACCCCACCCCACCTCTTCAAAAGGGAAATGTTAGCGTGAGTGTTAGTCGAAGTGAACGTCATTAGCCCTAGATATGAGTGCTAGTCGAAGTGAACGTCATTACCGCCCCACCCCACCCCACTTCAACATCATTGGAATAAAAAATCTGACTTTAACTTGAAGTACATGTCACAATCCCCGATGGCTAAGTGATCCTTTGTTTGGTGGCCAGATTTGTCCATGATCAAGCATCTTCGAGGTCGGCTTCTGGTTGCAGCCCGTTTCACACTGGAACGCAACTCAGCTTGGAATCGATGAAGTTGTTTGTTTCGTTGCATCCCCCCAAAAAATGCAAGTTTGATTGATTAGATTCTGGTCATGCAGACTGCAGACATCCAGCACTTGTTCTCCTTCCAACAGGCCTCATCGTGTGAGGCTAAGGAATCAAAAGACCCCGCCTCCTTCTTGTGGGGGATGACTCGATGACCTACTTTTGACAAACAAACTTGGCATGGCAACTATTATCCATGCTGTGATTATACTACTGTACAACTGAAGAAAGACCATGGGACATGAAACCAATCTCAGTGGATTTGAACAGCGTTCCTGGTCTTTGAAGCGTTGACGCGGTCACTCTATTAACTTAAGCGCCGCGGCGCTGCATCAATATCTTGAACTTGATCATTCCGCAACAACCAATAATGGAAAGCCCTAGTTCGGTATCTCCGCGGTCCCCGGACAGTAGGTCTTTGGGTCCCCAGCATGGATGGGCACTGGAGACCTACTCTGACTGACTAACATGGAAGTGGAAAATGGTCCCTTGGAAGACTACTTTCCTCTTCCATGTTGGTGAGTCGGAGGAGGCCTATTAAAGACCTACAGGAGCGGATTTGGTGAGTGTCGCTACTGCTAGACGATTTCCGTCCTATGAAGACCAGATCCTGAGCACCTGAAGAGGCCCGGTCAGCCACAAAAGTGGTCCGCGCGGTGCCCTCTCCAATCCTTTTATGGTAGACCCTTTCAATCCCTTTCACTATCAGCAGAACGTGTGACCTTTCTGGTCTGGATGCTTGAGACCTTACATGTAGTAAGTCTGTTACTTCTACCATCCGGAAGACCGTCCGGAATGGGAAGAGGGACAAACCGAAGAGTTCAGCCGAGTAGGAGACCTTTGCACGTCTTCAAGGGGGCCACCCCCTCGCACATGAGAATGTCTTGGCAGTGCCAGTCTGCCACACATCCAAGGTGCAGTTGCCTGTGGCGACAGCTGCGGTCGGCTGTAAGGAGAAGGAGAAGGCTTGATCATGCTTGATCCATCATGCTACCAGTGGATGAACAAACACATTGATGGATCTTTCATTAGAATGAGCAAAACCATGCAAATACTGGGTTCAACCGGAGGTCCATGATGATGCCATGTATATAGCCAAATGAAAGTGTGGATGGTCGAGATGTCCGTTATATTTGAAACATATTCACACCGCTTCGCGGTCGAAGCCGCCCGCACGGAGACTGGTGGTGTCGGAACCATGAGGGGCCGCGCACCTATTTTCCCCCACAAAAGCTCTCCACAACGACCACACGCACGATATCAATCGCCTGTTTCCTCGAGAAAAGCTTCTGTCGGGCAGACAGCCTGGACGAACACGCGTACACGATGTCGATAACGCAGTCTGCCCCAGGCTGCAAAACCGGCATCGCGCACGTTGACCTCCGAAGCCATACGGACAATCGATATCACTTTATATTTTTGTTTTATCCATATTCAAAAAACATCCAAAAACCTTCCAAAACACACTATTTCCCAAAATGAGAGGGCCCACCCGGCCCCCCCCCCAAGCTAAAGCTTAAGCTGTTTATCTAGCAGCTGATCTTCCAGTCTAGCCGAGCCGACACAACGCCTCAGCACCTTCGGTGCGGGCGGATTTGAAACCTATGGGGCCAGGAACGAGAACCAGCTGCGCTAGGTCGCTACTTAGTGTGCCATGGAATTCGCGCTTCTTGCTACTATAGTAGTAATGGCCTCCAACCTAATAGATCACTTCGCCCCAGTGAAGTCCCGCCCTCCACCTGGCCCGCCAGATCATCGACCACCCGGTGCCGCCGGAGGAGATGACACGGCGCGGCCAGGCGCTGGCCGCTACAGGAGACTGTGACTGGGAGAGGGTCTTTTCAGAGTGCATGTCGACGCGCCAAGATTTTGGGGTAGCTTTCCTGGTGAGCGGAGTGTTTCTGTTCAAGGTTGCTTTTTATGTGTTTTTGGATCCTAGCAAGGCTTGTGGAAATGTTTCAAGTTTGCTGATGCGGTCTCATAGACCGGTTGTGATATTCAGTTACAGAGTGCAAAGACACTCCCAATACTTGAATCCTTTGCTTACTATGAGACGCGTTGTCTCAGAGCATCTCTCGAACAACCCAAGATAATCAGAGACATCCTAGCACTATGCTTCGAGAGTCTCAGGAAGATGCCACATCCGGGCGTGGGTCTAAACTACAGAGGGAATTTCCTATGGCAATGTCCCTTGAATTGAATTTAAGAGCTTTGGAAACCACGATATACACTGATTTTGCAAAGGTATTGCTTCGTGCAGTTCTTTATTCCCAACCCCCTCAAGTGCCATAGTGGGTGATTTTTCCTCAAGGTCGAGTCAAATAAGTGTATTATATATATTTGTTTTTTAAATAGGGAAAAACACACCACAGGTGAATTCTGGAACGTGTAAACACTGCGTCCGATGTTTAAAGGTGAATCTTCTTTCGGCCCGTCCCCACAGTTCACTCCTTGGGGCCGAACACCGCACGGCGCCGCACGGCGCCGCACGGCGTCGTCGTTTCGTGAGGAGATCCCTGCGCCGCTGCGTGAAATGCGGAGGAGCTACCCGTGTGTTGAAAGAAGGATGTGATAGACCGTTGAAGCATCTGAATCTGATGTGCACAACAGGAGATTAAAAAGTGTCCGAATGAGGGGGTGTTGCTTTAGTTTACTTGCTCCTTCTATGCATGTCTAGTGCCAGGTCTGCTGCGGTGGAACCCCCCAACACTGGCCTTGAGAGCCCAGATGACACATTGAACCACCCTCCTCATCTAAACCACGAACCAGGTGAAGGGTCCAATGATTGATCTCCTGCACATGTAGCTCAGACTGTCTGGGAACCTTAAAACCCACCTCGAGTCGTCCTTTTCCGAGGCTCCAGCCTTTACACCTGGGCAGATGTGGCCAGGCGGACCTTCTTCAGAAACGGCGAGATGCATGAGATCCCCAGACCACTGATGGTGTCAGTCTATTTTCCCTTACCTTAAGGGGTTTGAGGCATTATATGACTCAAGAATAGATACGGGATGCTTCAAGAAATATCAAATGCAGACGGGACCATGTTCACTTGTGTGGCAGGTATGCAAGCTGCAGGCATGCGAGAACAGCGTTAAAGGCGAGGTGGTCGGAGATTTACAGTTGATGACAAGTTGATGGCGTCTTTGCAAAGCTGGATGTACACAAGTCAATAGAAGTCACAAGTCATGGTTTTCTTCCATCAATCGCATCCGTGCTATTTTCATTGCAGTGAAAGCACTGGGTTGTTTGACACCTGTAGATTCAGCTTTGAGGACTCTTTGCCTTCATCCAATAAGCACATTTCAACCAACCGCACTGCAAGGCGTCCATTTAGCTCGCCTGTGCTTCGGCTATAGATATGGTTGATTCATGTTGATTCATACACATTGGTGTTCCCATCCCAGTGTTCGGAGCAGGTCTCACCTTCGACAGAGTTTCTTCCTGCGATCTTGAGATGAGTTTGATTTCCAGATGAGGTGGGATAAGCATTGGTATCTTGTTTTCAACAGACATGCCCAATCACAGAGAGGTGCCAAATAAACAATATAGGTCATTTGGTTGCGAAAATCCTGGTATGAATTCAAGTGAGAGTGGCATGCTGTTGTCTCAAAAAGAATAGTGAAAAGCCTGGGAAGATGTGAAGATGGGACGCATGTTCAACACACGTTTACTCGCATGGTTGAAGGCCCCCCTGACTGTGAATATCATCGAATATCCACATAACAAATCTTATTGCTGCAATCATTAACATCCAACTAGCAATCAAATGGATAAATCGATAATTCATATTCATTCCAAAGAGCTCCACATGGATGATCGGAAATCGAGAAAAACCAAGGGGTTGGTTGATGTCCTTCGCAGCCTAGGTCGGTGGCAATGCTGAGCAAACTTGAATGAACTTGTTCTATTCGGGGGAAATAATATCACATAATAAAAATATTATACATAAGCGCCATTTCAGCCTCGAGTTACGGCAGCCATTTCCTTGTAGATCTTCCCGCCATTTTCTTTGCTTTGTGCTCTGGAATTTTCGGCCGTCACTTCATTGATGATTGTTTACATCTGGCTGCACTTCTTTCTGTCAGGACTAAGGCTGATTTCCCTGGTCCCAAGTCCAGGGCCCATGGATGCCAATGCTCCGCCTTTCATACCGAGCGGAACCATGGGTGGCGTGAGGGTTGTTCGGGACTCCTCAATCCCGGATGAGAGTGGAGAGGTTTCCTTCACTCGACAACGGCGCTTCTCCACGAAGCCTTCTGAGGTATGGGCCAGAGGAGGCTACGGCCTTGTCGTCTCTCGGCCGCGCATCGTTCAGATCAAAAGGACATACAAGAGAGCCTGCTTCCGAGCACTACAACATGGCTACACGCCTTACAGAAACGGCTACCTTTTTGATACTGATGTGCCATGGCGCCTTCGAGAAGCCTACAGACGCCACTCACAAGTCAAAATGAAACAGCGGACGCCACAAACGACTCCTGGCCTTCGGTGCATGACCTGGAATGCATCGAAGAACTTGGTCCATGATGAGCTGTTGCATTGGTGTAATTCCCAACCTCTGGACATCATTGCCTTGCAGGAAACTGGTTGGAACTTCAACTCCACCTGGACGTCCCAGGGCTGGCATTGTATACACTCATCGACGAAACATGCAGCCATCCTGGTCCTCATTCGAGGTACCTTGGCCAGACCTGAACAGATTGCCTCGGCCTCACACTTTGATGGCCGACTTCTACAGATCCGCCTTTTCTTGGACTGCACCTATGACTTCATCGTTGTTTCAACATGCCTGGAACGCCACCAAAGGCAGGGACAAGCTGCTAGAAGATCGTGCCAAGATTTGGAATAGCTTGCAGCAGCTTCTGAATCATGTTCCGCAGCAGCACCAAATGGTCCTGATGGGTGATTTCAATACCACCCTCAGGTTCGATCCGCCGCACATCAATAGCCATGATGCCCGTGCATCCTTGACCACTCACACTGATCGTGACCTTCTTCAACACTTGTTGAAAGCACAGGACCTGATCGCGTTGCATTGTAAACAGCACTATGCTTCAACCTTTGCACATGGATCCCATCAGTCACGCATAGATTATGTTTTTGTTCGACAACATCAGGTTCAATTTCGTCGTATGCAACCCACCATGGATAGGAATTTTATGCGCAACTTCGGATGTCATGGACCTCATCATCATCCTTTGTTCTTTGTCCTGCCCAGGTGGTTTGCGCCTCGGAAACCGGTGCTTCCTCTCAACAACATTGATAGATTTGCCCTCCGTACGGCTGGACTTGAGCACACTGCACACTGGCAGCAGTTCGAGGTTCAGATTCGTCAGTGCATCACCAGACACTGTCCGCCTCAACAACCGCCTGAGGTCCCCATGCTTGTTTTGGAACAAGAACTTAGAACCATTTGTTCTCTTTATTTTCCCAAACGCAAACAACGGGTCCCTCATGCATCCCATATTCCCTCCATGGCTGCCAGGATGTGGAATGCCCGCAAGCAGGCTCTGGCAGTCCGAGGCTGCTGCATTCGCGATCTCTTTGAGTGTTGGGCTCATATCACAACCTTCCGAACCCTTCACAAGGCCATTCGTAAACAGAGCAGACAGAACAAGAGGGACAAACTGCACACGATCCTCACCGAGGGTGCTGATCTTGCCCTTCATGGACGCATTTTTGACTGGTACCGGAAGATAAGGCTCCTCTGTCCGAAACAAAGACCGAAACGCATTCAGCTCTTTGATACTCATGGCATGCCTTTAGCACCCAGACAAGAGTTGGACTCCATCGAAAGCTACTATACACAACTGTTTGCTGATCCGCAGTTTGTAGTCCGGGAACTCGAACCCCTCACCCGACTTCCCTTTGACCGCCAGGACGTACTTACTGAGCTTTTGCACCTGCCAAGCACAAAAGCCCTGGCACCAAACGGACTGCCAGCTCTAATCTGGAAGCATTTCGCGCATGATCTTGTTGATCCTTTAATGCATCAGATTCAGCAGGTTTGGCTTCGATATCCCGTAAACCTTCCGGATCACTGGACAACAGGATGGATTCACCTTCTCACTAAACCCAATAAATCCCCAAGCAAACCCCAGGCACTCAGACCGATCTGTCTTCAGCACCCGGTCAACAAGATTCTTGCCGGAATCCAATGCAGGCAGATCGTTCTACAGACGTTCGACAGACTTAGACGTCTTCCACTCTATGCGTACTTGCCTCACAGAGGGACACGTGAATGTCTTCTTATCGTAGCCGAACATTGGAGAAGTGTACGCATGATGTGCAAGGATGTCAAGACTGGTACTCAGCCTAAGCTGCTTGACTCCAGGTTTCATTAGATATGGAAAAGGCATTTGACACGGTAAGCCGTACCCTTGTGCTCAGAGCCTTGAAGCAGTACCATTTGGACCCTGACCTCTTTCAACTTGTGCATACGTGGCTCACCCCCCATAAGTACTGTATTCCCTTCAAGCAATTGATCGGACAAATCCATGCACATAGAGGAATCAAACAGGGGGCCAAAGATGCCCCCTTACTATGGACCATCACCATGAGTCTCGTACTTGTTGATCTCCAAAACAAATACTCCCATCAATGGCTTCATGAGCACATGGTCGTCTACGCAGATGACATCCACCTACGGTGGCTAATTCGATCGACAGCCCAAGCCCTTGAAGCACTCACTGACCTTCAACATGTGTTGATGACTCTTCAAGCCTTTGGGTTCAATGTCAACCTTCACAAGTCAGTTGCCATGCTTCGACTCCAAGGGAAAGAGGCCCCTGCCTTCCTTCGTCAATGGGTTAGTAGACCACCCACTGGCCCTGTCCTGACACTGCCCGAACGTCGCTGGCAGCTACCGCTCGTGTCGAAAACAGCGTACCTTGGAGTCATCATAGGTTATCGAGCATGGGATGCAGACACTACTGCTCGTAGGATCACAGCAGCCAAATGGTGCTTCCGCAATCTCAGGTCCTGGCTTGTGAGTGATGTCCACCCCATTCGAACCAGACTTAAGTTGTACAAGCAATGTGTACTGGCCACGGTTCAATATGGCATACATGAAATGGGCTTGACTCAAAAAGGATTCAGACAAGTCATCAGCATGATCAACACACATCACCGGTCGATTGCTCACTCACCTGTGTGTCTCACTCATGAATCCACGTCCCATTTTTTTGAACGCATTCGTGAACCACCTCCATGGACCACCATCCTCACCCAACGACGGAGGATCCAAGAGGCCCTGTCGACAAGACGGGCACGCCTCCGCCTTGAAGCCATGGACAGCGAGATGCCGGATGTGTGTGTGTGTTCGTCCCAGATCTCTGGATTGAACCCTTGGTCAACCCACCTGATCAACCATCCACCATGGATTGCACTCAGGCAGTGGCTTGTCCGGAATGCCATCGAACCTTCATGCAGGCAGGAACGCTGAAACGTCACATGAGGCAGGTTCACCAGGTCCCATGCGAGCCAGACGACATTTTTCTGCCTTTATGGGACGCCTGGCAAGGACGTTCGATTTGCACGCATTGTTCACACGTCTTCGTTGATTTTTACAGACTTCGTGACCATATCAATAAGCATACATGTCCTCGCTTTGATCCTGCTCAGGAGTCGATCGTGCCGATCATCAACCGACCAGATCTCAAAATGCATTTGCGCCACAAGTCTGTCCCAGGTCTGTTGTTGAACTCAGCCTTGATCAATGAGATAGCCAACCACTGCACTTTTTGTCACATGCGGATAGCTGCTCGATCGATTCGCAAGCACTTCACGGAATGCCATCCGGACCTGGTTCCTTTAGCTGAGCATTTTCGTGATCATGTACAAGGCATGGCCAACATTGGAGGAGGCCGAGGTAGATGCAGCTTTTGTGACAGTGAATGCCGTGATACAAGAGCGCATGAATGCGGGGTCCTGTTTCAGATATCGGTCATGATGGGGCACACCTTTCAACCTGAACACTTCCCCATCATGCCTGTCATGCAGAAAGCCTCCAGGATCAACACCACTGACCCTAGCTTCGTCTCCATTCCGCCACCGACAGCGGCTCAGCCAGGTTTGTATGCGGCCACATCGACCGTGC